AGTTCCTGTCAGACCAAGCAGGAAACCCGAAGTGCAAGCACCGTTGGGGGGGAACAGAAGCGAGGACAAGCGGGGGAATGACTGTGGTGCAGTTCTCTGCCCGCGCAGCATCCGCGCATCACCACCTCCAACGTTCGTGCAAACATCCCACCCTCCCACCCGAAACCTTTCCTGGGCAAATTTCATACGACCATGATATCAACGAGCGCACTGGCGGGTGCAATTTAAAGCGCCGGCACGTCCGTCCTGCAGGTCCCGAAGTGATGGTGGCGCCGCTACCACATTGGCGAAGAACGTCATCCTTCTTCCAAGTACTCAAAGACTGGAGCCACAATGCTGACGGCAAGACATGGATTCGAAAGGAAGGCTGCATGTACTCATTGTAGACTGTGAGAGGGCGATCCCAACATGCAAAGGGTAACACAGGATGTCCAAAGACGACGAGTACGACGAGCACAGCCGAACCCGACAAAAGACGTCTCCTGCGGAGCCGCCCCTGGCATCGCGGCATCCGGCGTGCGGGCGCTGGCGCTGGGCGTCCCCTGCCCCCCTGGAGGCCACCCGAAGAGGGCCTCCTGCACCACCTCCTCTTCCTACTCCTCCTCCATTTCCTCTTTTCCTTTTCCTCCTCGTCCACATCCTCCATTCCTTTTCCGTATGGATAACTCCTCCCTGTCGCACCCCGAGGCCAGTCGAAAGGGCGGGACGGACGTTTCGCCTGAGACATCCTCACCACTTATGACCCTGATACTGAAGAATCGGCAACAGCTTCACAAATGGAGAGGGCGGGTCGTTTTCCAAATGTGGCTCTCGCCTTAGCGCCGCGCACGTTCGTTAGTTTGCAAGTGCTTCACGGATGCAAGGCGGATCGTTTTCAAAATGTGGCTCTCGCCTTAGCGCCGAGCAAATTCACTTTAGACATTTGAAAGAGCTTCACGCATTGAGGGCGGGTCGCTTTCTTGAAATATTCCGTCCCTCCAACATCCCTCTTCACAGGCTCCTACAGGGAGTCATTTCCACTGAGATATTGCCCCGTTGGGGGACAACCGTGTGAACATGTTGAAGCGCGCCAGACATACTATTCCCAGGACTTCAACGCCACGCTTTAATCTGACTGTCACGTTTTGGAGGCCCTGAATCGCGCCAGGTTACCATTCATGGGACTTCAACTTCGCGAGCCAACATGGCCGACGCGCCCGGACAGTCCTGAATCGCTCCAGAAAACCATTTCTGGCACGTTAACCATGAGGAGCAGCGAAGTCCTTGCAAATGTTTAAGCGTGATGCGCGTGGCGCCAGGGCGAGGGCCACATTTCGAAAAGGAGCCGCCCTCAATCCGTACAGCTCTTGCAAATTTTGAAAACGAATGTGCGCGGCGCCAGGAGGAAAGTCACATTTCGAAAAAGAGCTGCCCTTTAATCCGTGTAGCGCTTGCAAACTGTTGAAACAAATGTGCGCGGCACTACGGCGAGAACCACATTTTGAAAACGAGGCGCCCTCAGTCCGTGAAGGCCTTGAAAAAAATTACAGCGACTGTGGTGGGCGCTAACGTGAGAGCTACACACTGGTCTTCCTCCTCCTTCTCCTCCTCGTTATCCTCCTCCTCCTGCTCTTCCTCCTTCTCTTCCTCATCCTCCTCCTCCTCGACCTCCTCCTCCTCCTCATCCTCTCTTCTTCCTCTTAATAATGTTACTCGAATGTTTCTTAATATTATTATACCAGCAGAATCATCATCACCATCCTCCTCCTCCTCCTCCTCCTCCTCCTCCTCCTCTTCCTCCGCCTCCTGCTCCTCCTCCTCCTCCTCCTCCTCCTCCTCCTCTCCTCCTCCTCCTCCTCGTCCTCTTCCTTCTCCGCCTCCTCCTCCTCATTCCCCACATCCTGAGTGGGGTTCTTGTTTTCCCAGAACACCCTCTCCTTCCCACCCACCTCCCGCTCCACCTTCCATACAGCACAATATTATTCCTACCACACACCCCATACCATACCATAGTTCCTACCACACATACCATACCATACCATACCATACCATACCACACCATACGTACCATACCGTACCATACCATACCATGGCGCACCATAGCATACCATACCATATCACACCAATGCCACACCGTACCATACCATACCATACCTCCAGTACCATACCATACCATATCATACCATACCGTACCATACCATACCTACCATACCATTCCATACCACTCCATACCGAAAACCATACTACTTACATGGTTTCGTGCCCCTCCCACCCCTCCAGGGAGGCCCCGCCTGAGCGAGGAGGGTATCGGAATACCATACTATTTACATGGTTTCGTGCCCCTCCCACCCCCAGGGAGGCCCCGCCGAGCGAGGAGGGTATCAAATCCATACTATTTACATGGTTTCGGCCCCTCCCACACCTCCAGGGAGGCCCCGCCTGAGCGAGGAGGGTATCCGAAAACCATACTATTTACATGGTTTCGTGCCCCTCCCACCCCTCCAGGGAGGCCCCGCCTGAGCGAGGAGGGTATCCGAAAACCATACTATTTACATGGTTTCGTGCCCCTCCCACCCTCCAGGGAGGCCCCGCCTGAGCGAGGAGGGTATCGGAAAACCATACTATTTACATGCGTGCCCCTCCCACCCCTCCAGGGAGGCCCCGCCTGAGCGAGGAGGGTATCGGAAACCATACTATTTACATGGTTTCGTGCCCCTCCCACACCTCCAGGGAGGCCCCGCCTGAGCGAGGAGGGTATCGGAACCCATACTATTTACATGGTTTCGTGGCCCCTCCCACCCCTCCAGGGAGGCCCCGCCTGAGCGAGGAGGGTATCGGAAAATACTATTACATTGGTTTCGTGTCCCTCCCACACCTTCCAGGGAGGCCCCGCCTGAGCGAGGAGGGTATCGGAATACCATACTATTTACATGGTTTCGTGCCCCTCCCACCCCTCCAGGGAGGCCCCGCCTGAGCGAGGAGGGTATCGGAATACCATACTATTTACATGGTTTCGTGCCCCTCCCACCCCTCCAGGGAGGCCCCGCCTGAGCGAGGAGGGTAAAACCATACTATTTACATGGTTTCGTGCCCCTCCAACCCTCCCCCTCCGAAAACCATATTTACATGGTTTCGTGCCCCTCCCACCCCTCCAGGGAGGCCCCGCCTGAGCGAGGAGGGTATCGGAAAACCATACTATTTACATGGTTTCGTGCCCCTCCCACCCTCCAGGGAGGCCCCGCCTGAGCGAGGAGGGTATCCGAAAACCATACTATTTACATGGTTTCGTGCCCCTCCCACACCTCCAGGGAGGCCCCGCCTGAGCGAGGAGGGTATCGGAAAACCATACTATTTACATGGTTCGTGCCCCTCCCACCCCTCCAGGGAGGCCCCGCCTGAGCGAGGAGGGTATCCGAAAACCATACTATTTACATGGTTTCGTGCCCCTCCCACCCCTCCAGGGAGGCCCCGCCTGAGCGAGGAGGGTATCGGAAAACCATACTATTTACATGGTTTCGTGCCCCTCCCACCCTCCAGGGAGGCCCCGCCTGAGCGAGGAGGGTATCGGAAAACCATACTATTTACATGGTTTCGTGCCCCTCCCACCTCTCCAGGGAGGCCCCGCCTGAGCGAGGAGGGTATCCGAAAACCATACTATTTACATGGTTTCGTGCCCCTCCCACCCCTCCAGGGAGGCCCCGCCTGAGCGAGGAGGGTATCCGAAAACCATACTATTTACATGGTTTCGTGCCCCTCCCACCTCTCCAGGGAGGCCCCGCCTGAGCGAGGAGGGTATCCGAAAACCATACTATTTACATGGTTTCGTGCCCCTCCCACCCCTGCAGGGAGGCCCCGCCTGAACGAGGAGGGTATCCGAAAACCATACTATTTACATGGTTTCGTGCCCCTCCCACCTCTCCAGGGAGGCCCCGCCTGTTTACACGGTTTCGTGTCCCCCCTCCACTCCTCCAGAGAGGCCGCGCTTGAACGAGGAGGGTCGCGGAAAGCATTACTCATCGCCAGGTTTCGTAGCCCCCCCCCCTTCCAGCGGGGCCCCGCCAAAGCGAGGAGGGCATCAAGAAAATTGGTCCCACGAAACCGTTAATCTCTTTATGTGGGGAACTCCGTTAGCATTCTTTTTCCTCCTCCTCCTCCTCCTCATCCTCCTCCATTCGTTTGCCTTATACTTCTCCGTGTCGCACCCCGAAGCCAAATTCTAGGGCGAGCCGGGCGTTGCGCCTGAGACTTCCTCGCCACTTCTGACACTGAAGCTTAAACTTTGACAACAGTTTCATCAATGGAAAGTCGACCGTTTTCAAAATGAGGATCTCGCGTTAGCGCCGCGCACATTCGTTGAAATTCCTTGCGAGTTTCACGGGTTGGGGGCACGTCGTTTTCAAAATGCGGTTCTCGCCTTAACGCCGCGCATATTCGTTTTTTAACTTTGCAAGAGCTGCACGGTAGCAAGGCGGATCGTTTTCAAAATGTGGTTCTCGCTTCAGCGCCGCGCACATTCGTTCTGAAAATTTGTACGAGATTCACGGATTGAGGGCGGATCGTTTTCAAAACGTGGCTCTCGCCGTAGCGCCGCGCACATCCGTTGAAACATTTGCAAGCGATTCACGGATTTCCATGACCTGCGTACCACAACTGGTGTTTTGGAAAGACTCAGGACCACGAGGGTGCAACAGTAGCATTGACTCGCGGTGTGTAAGTCCCAGGAACAGCGTTCTGGCACGATTCAGGCTCGTCAAGACGCAGCAATCAATTTGATCCGTGGCGTTGGAATCGCGAACACAATGTTTTAGCATGTGTCAGCCTATTCGAACGATTGTCTTCCAACGAGGCATTCCCCTCAGTGGATATGAACCGTTGTATGGGGTCTATGAAGAGGGAGCTTGGAGGGAGGGGATCTTCCAACATCGTTGATGACTCTTGGGTTTACACTGGTCCTCCTCCTCCTCCTCCTCCTCCTTTTCCTCCCCCCTTTTCCTCCTGATCCTCCTCCTCCTCCTTCTCTTTTCCCCTCCTCGCAGTACGCCACATGACCCACGTCGTCCTACATGCGGGAGATATTCCGCCCAGGGCCTGACATGCCGATCATTAGGCCCTTCGCCTGCAGCTTCACCTCATCGACCCATTTCACGTCGTCAAACTTCACGGACACCCTGTAATGATGCACTTGATGACCGAATAGCCTCTGATGTACGACGCCTGGCTGCTGTCCACGACGACCTTCCCCCAGGAGACCACGAGCCCGACCATGACCTGCGGCGAACTGCTGATCGCCTGGGCTCGCCCGCCACCGAACCCACGCGTCAGCTGCCTCTCCGCGCCCACACCCATCGGGTGCGTTCCCAACCGGCAACTGGTCGGAACCCGGCCGATGCCCTCCAAAGACAGGAGATCGCCCAACGCGGCCTCCAGCACCGTCATGCCGCACGGCTGCGCCGCGTGTCATTCCGGGCACCCGATCACGTCCGCAGCGCCACGGGGCCAAGCACCACGGGTGGCCTTTTCCATCCAGGTACGCATCCAGCGCCACGACCCACGCACCGCCGAGGCGCGGCGCCCCGCCGCGAAGTACCCCAGGCGTCTCACTGGGTCGAGGCTGCTGCAGCTCGGCTGCCGTAAATACATGAGCTACCTGACCAGACACTGACCGAGACGGGCCAGCGTCGCCTCCCCCAGCTGCAACAGCGTGGCCGGAAGAGCACGCTCTCGGCCGTGGCCTCCGCGAATCGCGTGGACCTGCGCGGGCGGGAGCGGCGCCGGGGCGCCTGCCCGCCCCGCCTCGGCCTCCAGCACCTCGCCTCGTCGCCCGCCAGCCGCTGCCGTTCCGCCCTTCCCGCCTCAGAGGCCTCTACTGGCAGGAGGGCCAGGTGCCCAAACGTCCGACGACTCGACTTTTGCGAGACACGGACCCCCGACCTCCCGACCACTTGCCCGGGACCGGTTCTTCACCCCGCGTCTTCCTCGACAACCCGGAGGCCCAGTGAAGGCCCCGAGAAACCACAAACTACGAAAAAACTCCGCCTCGATTTTTCGACCTCCCGACCAGTTCCCCGGGACCGGCTTCGCAGCCCGTGTCTTCTTCGACAACCCCGAGGCCCAGTGAAGGCCCCGACAGGCCGCAAGCTACGAGAAAGCTCCGTCTCGATGTGTCGAGGCGCCCGATGTCCGGCCGCCTGCTCCGAGGCCCCGCGGTCCGGCACGCCAGCGGGAGCAGCTCCACGACCTTGCACCGCGCCCTTCAGGTCCGCGGGGCTTGTGAGTCGGCGGCGCCGAGGGCCCTCGAGCGCGAGCGGCAGACCGCAGTGCGAACTGCGACCGAGCACTGTCGAAGGCGCAGGCAGGTCCGCGGGGTCCTGGCGGCCAGCTCTCGCGCTGGCTCGCGTCGTCGAGCGCGGCCCCCCTGCTCGGCACCTCGGGGCCCTCGCGGGCCAGCAGCTCGCGCACCACCTCGGGAGCCGGCGCGAGCGCGAGCGCCGAGGCCCGCTCGGCGCGGCTCTGGCGAGCCGGGCACAGCCGCGCCACCGCGCCCCGCGCGGGTCCCCCTGCTTCAGCGAGGGAAAACAAGGGGCCTCGAGCCCAGGTGGGCGATGGAGGTGCGAGGTCCCCAGCCCTGCACAGCGAGCTGCGCAGGATGAGGCAAAGGAAGTAACAGCAGCAGGAGAGGGAGGCCGAAGAGGAGCCCGGGGAGGGAGGAAAGAGCTGGGAACGAGACAGAGAAATGCAGCAGGAGTGGGCAGGAGCTACGAAGACAGGAAGAGAGGAGCTAAGAGTCGAGGGCCGAGGAATGGAGACGAGAGGGGAAGGAGAGGCGACGGGTGGGAGAGGAGGAGGGATAGGGTAGGGAGCAGGTCGCACGGAACACGGATCACTAAGGAATCGGGAGAAAGGCGTCAAGCCACCCAACTCGAACGAGTCAGCGGGGCCCGCCCTCTACCACCCGCTCTTCACAGATGTGCTTTTCCCACGCGGCAACGCAACCCGACGGGGCAAGCTTGGACACCCTCAGCCTGACACTGGCAGCGCCACCTGTGAAAGCGTGGGAGCGGAAAAAAGGGGGAGGAGGAACGACAACCACGAAGAGGGAGGGACGGGGCTCTGGCGCATTGAGAACCGTGCACTGGAATTGGATGATCACTCTCTCGCGAAGGATGAGCAGCGAGCGGCCGGCCCGCACATAGCATTCGACGCCTCGGCAAAGAGGGCCAAAACATCAAATCCACGAGTGTCAGCATTTGCGCGCATACTCTGCCACGTTAATACCGGCATTGGGCATGAAGCGTATGGCAATGCACCACCATTCGCACAAGCAGCACGTCAGTAAGTTCAATTATGCTGCCACCGAGAACAGACATGCTCCGCAACAAAAGTGAATGTACAACAAGGGGCGTCGGCGAAGCTTCGATCATACAAGGACGCGCCAGCGCCTCCACCAAAACAAACAACAGATGCACGCACGCACCTCCCATCTGAACTATGAATTTGACCATGCAGATACAAGTATCTCGCCCGATCCCTAGATAGCGGATTCGTCACGCTTCTTTGCCATGTTTGTCTTCCCGCGGCCCCGCTTCAGACGATGTGGCCAACGCCCAACATGCACCGCGCCCAAAAAGGAACCCACCCTTCTGGAAAAAGGACGGGGCTTGGGCGAGAGCAATGTTTCGTTATCCAAAGCGCGGTTCCAGCTCCGAAGAGTTGACGAACAGAGAAAGCGCACCACGCCCGAGCTGGAACTCAAATCTCAAGAAAGCACACGCGCGATCCCATCAGAAACAGCGGCCTGCAGGCACTTCCCGCGCGACCTGCCCAGAGTCACCTCCAGCGCCAGCGCGAAGCCCGCGCGCCGACGAGGACGAGGAGACTCAGAAGCACGGCCAGAAGCGGGGCAAGCGGCCAGAAGCCAGCAGAAGCTCCTCCTCCTCCTCCTCCTCCTCCTCCTCTCCTCCTCTCCTCCTCCTTCCTCCTCCCCCTCCCCCTCTCCTCCTCCTCCTCCTCCTCCTCCTCCTCCTCCTCCTCCTCCTCCTCCTGCTCCTCCTCCTCCTCCTCCTCCTCCTCATCCTCCTCCTCCTCCTCCTCCTCCTCCTCCTCCTCCTCCTCCTCCTCCTCCTCGGCGGCCCGGCGCCTCGGCCCACCGCGCCGGACCGCCGGCGGCGGGGCAGCTTCCCGGAGTAGCACGGCGCGGGTGCACGGACCCTCCGCCCGCCCGCGCGGGCCGAGCCGTGGGAGTCGGCACCCCGCCTCCGAGGACAAGAACAAGATTATCCCCGTGCGACCCCACCTAGGAGTGGAAGGATCTGGGAAAGCAACATCTGGCATCCATACGAAGCCGAGCTGAGCCAAGATGAAGCTAAGCTGAGATGAAATCAGATAGGCCAAGATGAGATAAGCAACGCTAAGCTAAGGGAACGTCACTGAAACGCATGCGAACACCGCCACTGGGGCCTCAAGTGGAGCTCCAAGTGGGGCGACGAAACGCCGTTTTGGGTGGGGGAGACGCATGCGAACACCGCCATTGGGGCCTTCGGTGGAGCTCCTTGTGGGGCCACGGAACGCTGTCCTGGGCGGGGGGGACGCATGTGAACACCGCCACTCGGGCCTTAAATGGAGCTCGATGTGGGGTCACGAAACGCTGTACTGGGTGGGGGAAACGCATGCGAACACCGCTACTGGGGCCTGCGGTGGAGCTCCCTGTGGGACCACGAAACGCTGTGCTTAGCGGGGGGGATTCATGCGAACACCCCCACGTCCTGGGCGGGGGCGACGTATGCGAACACCGCCAATGGTGCCTTAACATCGAGCTCCTTGTGGGGCCACGAAACGGTGTCCTCGGTATGGGGGAAACGCATGCGAACACCGCCATTGGGGCCGTAGATGGAGCTCCCTTTGGGGCCACGAAACGCTGTACTGGGCAGGAGAGACGCATGCTAACTTTGCCACTGGGGCTTTTGGTGGAGCCCCATTATGGGCCACGAAAAACTGTACTGTCTGGGGGGAACGCATGTGAACGGGTCCATTGTGGCCTTTCGGTGGGTCTCCATATGGAGCCACGAAACGCCGCGGGGAAGACGCATGTGAACAGGTCTATTGGGGCCTTCTGTGGAGCTCCGTACGGGCCACGAAACGCCGTGCTGGCTGGGGGAGACGCATATGGACACCGCCATTGGGGCTTTCGGTGGTTCTCCTCATGGAGCCACGAAACGCACTGCTGGGTGCGGGAGACGCATGTGGACGGTGCCATTGAAGCCGCAAGTAGAGCTACATATGGGGCCACGAAGCACTGTGCTGGGTGGGGGCGACGCATGCGGACGGGTCCATTGAGGCCTCCGGTGGAGCTCCTTACGGGGCCACGAAACGCCGTGCTGGGTGGGGGAGACGCATGTGGACACCGCCACTGGGGCCTTCGGTGGAGCTCCCCATGGGGCCACGAAACGCCGTGCTGGGTGGGGGAGACGCATGTGCACACCGCCACTGGGGCCTTCGGTGGAGCTCCCCATGGGGCCAAGAAATGCTGTACTGGGTGGGGGAAACGCATGTGGACACCCCATTGGGGCCTGAGGTGGGGCTCCCCATGGGGCCACGAAGCGCAATGGTGGGTAGGGGGGAGACGCATGTGGACACCGCCGTTGGGGCCTTCGGTGGAGCTCCCTCTGGGGCCGCGAAGCGCTGTGATGGGTGGGGGAGACGCATGCGGACACCGCCACTGGGGCCTTAGGTGGGGTTCCCTATGGGACCACGAAACGCCGTGCTGGGTGGGGGAGACGCATGTGGACACCGCCACTGGGGCCTTCGGTGGCGTTCCGTATGGGGCCACGGAACGCCTTGCTGGGCGGGGGGGACGCATGTGAACAGGGGAGACGCACGTGGACACCGACCACTGGGGCCTTAGGTGGAGCGCCTTATGGGGCCGCGAACCGCCGTGTTGGGTGGGGGAGACGCATGTGGACACCGCCACTGGGGCGTTCGGTGGAGCTCCCTATGGGACCACGAAACGCCGTGCTGGGTGGGG